TTTGTGCAATGGCTTGAATAATTTGGTTATGCTACTTTGTTGATAAAGCAACACACACAGTATTTAAATACTTAGATGGCTCACAACTTCCTCCAGCTATATCAAGACAAGACCGAGGTACTTATTATTGGAGCCAAAGCACAGAGAATCTGGCCGCACATTTTAATTCACAGCCAATAAAGATAAAACACCAGGTAAAACAACTGTGGACATATTTAAAAGGGATCTTAGGGTGCTTTTTTAGTTTAAAATAGTTATTTTGTTTCTTGTGTAGTAAATATTAACGTTTTTATTTTCATAATTTTTTCCTGTGAAGTGCATTGTTGCATTCATGTCTGAAATGTGCTATATAAATAAAGCTTGATTTGATGTATTACTCTGTTCCAGAATAAATTGGCTTTGGAATGACCCATTTATGGTTTTGAAAAATCTATTCAGTTCCTCCACATTGAAATGAATGGCAGCCAACTTGAAAATAGGCTGCTGTGACTGATTTTACACTAAATCTATGATGACTCTGAAACTTTTCCAATGGGTCTCCTTGTTCTGTGGGAAGTTTGGTGTAGTTATTATCTAGGGTACCATGTAATAATAAAGCACAGGGCAGGGGTTAAGACCCCTCTGGGGGTTGGCCCCCCTTCACTGGGCCCTCTACCCCCAACTCCTTGGGGCAGGGAGCTGGCTGGATGAAGTGGCGGAGGTCAGCCCCCCTTGTTCGGGGGTCGGCTCCCGCTCCCTGGGTCGGCCCCAGCCCTCTCTGGGTGTATTTAGTGGCGCCCCTTGGTGGCCACGGGCAGGGGTTGGCCCAGCCCTCTCCCCCGATCTCCCTAGTACAGGGAGCTAGGTGGATGTAGTGGCGCACCCTGGTGGCCCTGGGTGGGGGGGTCGGACCCCTCCCTGGGTCAGCCTCAGCTCTCTCTGGCCGTCTCCCCCCATATCCCTGGGGCAAGGAGCTGGCTGGAAGTAGTGGCGCCCCCTGCTGGCGGGGGTCAGGCAACCTCCCTGGGGAAGGGAGCTGGGTGGAAGTATTGGTGCCCCCGGTTGCTGTGGGCGGGGGACGGTCTCCCCTCCCTTTGTCGACCTCAGCCCTCTCCCCTCATCTCCCTGGTGCAGGAAGCTGGCTGGATGTACTGGTGGCCATCGGCAGGGGTAGGCACCCCTCTCCGGGGGTCAGGCCCACCCTCACTAGGTCAGCATCTCCCCTCTCTGGCCCTCTCCTCCCATATCCCTGGGGAAGGGAGCTGGCTGGATGTAGTGGTGCCCCCTGGTGGCCTTGGCCAGCGGCGAAGGGTCGCCCCCCCTGGCCGTCGGCCCACAGAGTCTCTGGGTTAGAGCGTTAACATCACCTGTAAATGCGCACTGAACAGGTGTAATGAACACGTGTAAAAATGACCAAAACAAGCGTTTGCTACACCTGTAAATGCACACTAAACAGGTGTAATGAACATGTAAATATAACTTCTGACACTTTATAAAAACAAGTGAAAAATGATCATTACAAGCATTCAAATCACCTGTAAATGCGAAAAGTGAAAAAAAAGCATGTAAAGAAAATGACATTTGACACTTGAAAAAAGCAAGTGAAAAATGATCATTACAAGTGTTAAGACGTCTTCCGGGTAAGACGATTTTAACCTTTTGGCCTACCATAGATGTGCAGTTCGCAAACGAGTTAGATTTTTTTTTACTGACTCGAGAGTCATGATTAATTTATTTTAGTCGTTCGTTTGACCTGCTGGCTTGAATGAATTCTACAGTATGATTAATACGCGCTGCTCCGGTGACATGCTCCGACAAACAACTGTCATATATGCACGCAGGCAAAATAGATTAGAAAAATAGATGTTTAGAACTGATAATTGATCGCATGGTGCAATAATTAATGCAATTAATTGATTATTGAATGTGATGTAGAACCAAAACATACAGCCTCTACTCAAACTTGAACTCGGGAACGAATCGTTTGGGGTGCTGCAGTTGGCAAACGATATTGTGCTCAGCCGCCTCAGGGCAGTCAAGCAATTAATTCTGCCAATACTTTCATACTACACAAACATAAAAACGCAACAATTTCAGTTACACTTTACATGAGGAAATCAGTCAATTTAAACAAATTCATTAGGCCCTAATCTATGGATTTCACGATTGGGAATACGGATACCTTTAAATAAATGGGCCTCAGGATCTCATCACAGTATTTCTGTGCATTCAAATTGTCATCGATAAAATGCAATTGTGTTCGTTGTTCGTAGGTTATGCCTGTCCATACCATAACCCCACCATGGTGCACTCTGTTCACAACGTTGACGTCAGCAAACCGTCGCCCACAAAACACCATACACGTGGTCTGCAGTTGTGAGGCTGGTTGGACATACTGCCAAACTCTCTAAAAAGACTGAGGCGGCTTATTGTAGAGAAAATAACATTCAATTATCTGGCATTAGCTCTGGTGGACATTCCTGCAGTCAGCATGCCAATTGCACGCTCCCTCAACTTGAGACATGTGGCATTGTTGTGACAAAACTGCACATTTTAGTGGCCTTTTGTCCCCAGCACAAGGTGTATCTGTGTAATGATCATGCCATTTAATCTGTTTCTTGATATGCCACACCTGTCAGGTGGATGGATTATCTTGGCAAAGGAGAAATGCTCACTAACACTAACAGGGATGTAAACAAATTTGCACACAAAATGAGAAACTTTGTGCGTATGGAACATTTTTAGCTTATGAAACCAACACTTCACATTGCATTAATATTTTAGTTCAGTGTACAATCTAGTCCGGTTGCAGCCACAACTAGACCTCGTTTCTAATGTACCAAGAAGTAATCTTATTTGTATGCCAAGCAATCAACAAATGTACATACACTGCCCAAAAAAATAAAGGGAACACTAAAATAACACATCCTAGATCTGAATGAATGAAATAATCTTATTAAATACTTCTTTCTTTACATAGTTGAATGTGCTGACAACAAAATCACACAAAAATTATCAATGGAAATCAAATTTATCAACCCATGGAGGTGTGGATTTGGAGTCACCCTCAAAATTAAAGTGGAAAACCACACTACAGGCTGATCCAACTTTGATGTAATGTCCTTAAAACAAGTCAAAATGAGGCTCAGTAGTGTGTGTGGCCTCCACGTGCCTGTATGACTTCCCTACAACGCCTGGGCATGCTCCTGATGAGGTGGCGGATGGTCTCCTGAGGGATCTCCTCCCAGACCTGGACTAAAGCATCCGCCAACTCCTGGACAGTCTGTGGTGCAACGTGGCGTTGGTGGATGGAGCGAGACATGATGTCCCAGATGTGCTCAATTGGATTCAGGTCTGGGGAACGGGCAGGCCAGTCCATAGCATCAATGCCTTCCTCTTGCAGGAACTGCTGACACACTCCAGCCACATGAGGTCTAGCATTGTCTTGCATTAGGAGGAACCCAGGGCCAACCGCACCAGCATATGGTCTCACAAGGGGTCTGAGGATCTCATCTCGGTACCTAATGGCAGTCAGGCTACCTCTGGCGAGCACATGGAGGGCTGTGCGGCCCCCCAAAGAAATGCCACCCCACACATGACTGACCCACCGCCAAACCGGTCATGCTGGAGGATGTTGCAGGCAGCAGAACGTTCTCCACGGCCTCTCCAGACTCTGTCACGTCTGTCACATGTGCTCAGTGTGAACCTGCTTTCATCTGTGAAGAGCACAGGGCGCCAGTGGCGAATTTGCCAATCTTGGTGTTCTCTGGCAAATGCCAAACGTCCTGCACGGTGTTGGGCTTTAAGTACAACCCCCACCTGTGGACGTCGGGCCCTCATACCACCCTCATGGAGTCTGTTTCTGACCGTTTGAGCAGACACATGCACATTTGTGGCCTGCTGGAGGTCATTTTGCAGTGCTCTGGCAGTGCTCCTCCTGCTCCTCCTTGCACAAAGGCGGAGGTAGCAGTCCTGCTGCTGGGTTGTTGCCCTCCTACGGCCTCCTCCACGTCTCCTGATGTACTGGCCTGTCTCCTGGTAGCGCCTCCATGCTCTGGACACTACGCTGACAGACACAGCAAACCTTCTTGCCACAGCTCGCATTGATGTGCCATCCTGGATGAGCTGCACTACCTGAGCCACTTGTGTGGGTTGTAGACTCCGTCTCATGCTACCACTAGAGTGAAAGCACCGCCAGGTGACCAAAACATCAGCCAGGAAGCATAGGAACTGAGAAGTGGTCTGTGGTCACCACCTGCAAAACCAGTCCTTTATTGGGGGTGTCTATAATTTGCCTATAATTTCCACCTGTTGTCTATTCTATTTGCACAACAGCATGTGAAATGTATTGTCAATCAGTGTTGTTTCCTAAGTGGACAGTTCGATTTCACAGAAGTGTGATTGACTTGGAGTTACATTGTTTTGTTTAAGTGTTCCCTTAATTTTTTTGAGCAGTGTAGTTTAAAGCACGCGTTTACAAGCCCCTTATGATGAATGAGAGACTAGTACATTATTTTTTAAAGTTTTCAGTTCATCGCTAGCCGGTACGGGGTCCTGGGCATTACGGACTCTAATGAAACGAGTCGAAGACTTGTTCTTTTGACTGAACGAGTCAAAGATCAGAGTCAGTAAAACAAGCCAAACTTTACTACTGTGCAGGGGCACACCACCAAAATGTCAGACTGATGCACAAACCCCACTGTTGCCTAAAGGTCGATCATTTGTCCGTCGCCCAAGTTGATCCTTTCACAACTAAAATTGAGACATTCAAATTCCTTTGCACATAATTATTTTGGAATTGCCCACTGCGCGCTCTGATGGCGCTTATGAAAGAACTAAGAATGTGGTCAAATGCAGCTGAAAATGTAAGATCTCTTGCTACAAACCCCCACCCACCCAACATAGCATCAGGGGGTCTTCAATGAGGAACTGGACCCTTTACCCTACCATTTTCAGCCTTGTACATGAAGAACAATTCAAGATATGTCAAACTTTATTTATATAATACAAAACATGTATAATCCATACAAACATTACATCACACACCCCTCAACTTCATCGGGAATGACTGATTGCATACACCTCTCAAACACTCCATTTATACTATGTGCATTTGTCCTTTACGCCACCAGCATCCCATGAGAAAGAGAGCAGCCATTTGTTTTTTGACGATTGCACCCTTATTGAACTATTTTGTCATCATCAAGCCAAACGTGATGTTTGTCATGACAATTTCATAAGGAGTTGGCAAGAGCAGAAACCGTCCCAGGCACCCAGCTAATTCATTGTTGGTTGCCCTTGATCTTCTGTAGTCTCTTCATGAGGTCGGCTAGGTTGCCCGTGGAGGCGGAGTCGGGGTTAGCGGGCCGGGAGGGGCTCTGTGGGCGGGCCTGGTCCTGTGATTGGCGGTTGTGGAGGATCTGGGACATTTTGCTCTGGAGCACGACCATAGAGGAGGGGGGGGTCATGGAGAGAAGAGCGGCGCGCTCATCCTCATCCTCCCTCTGCTGGGGCTACACAGGAGAGGGGATAAAGGAGAGAAAGTAAATCACAGCAACAATCAAACTACTAGAACAAAAAATATGATTCAGTAACCAGATTTCCATCCACAGTTTTTATGCGAGTAAAGTCATGATGATTTGGTTGTTCGTCATGGTGGGGTCTTTTTGTGTCAGTCAAATTAAAGTACGCGGTAAATGGCAGTGGAAATGCCTTTATACGCAAATATTGATAAAATAACCATTATATCGAAGTAAATTTGGAGTCACGCGATGATATGGTGTGGTCCTCCCACTATGACTCAGAAATCCATGCAGTTCAAATTAAACTACGGATTAAGTAAATGATGATGATGAACTCCACAGGGTGGTGAAAGTGCACAGTGATGAGCTTGATGCTGTTTTCCATTAAATCAAGGGTCTTATTCTGGTGACATGATCGATGCTTGACAAATAAAAAATATTTTCGCTCTTATCCATAATAATCTCATGTAGACTAGCCAATCCGCACAGCCTACCTGTGAGCTGTTGGCTAGAACGCAGGTGCCAAGACCAGAGCAGGCACATTTGCTATTTAACGCAACAGTTTGTGACAAAACTAAAATCGGTAGAGTTGAAAATGCGATGGAAACACATTGAACTTCAGATTTTTATTCGGTACATGAAACCTTAAGCGAAATAGTACATTGTGTGCACTACATCATCACACACTGATTTTTATCTGCAACAAATTTATTTGGTGGAAACATACAGTGGGGACAACAAGTATTTGATACACTGCCGATTTTGCAGGTTTTCCTACTTACAAAGCATGTAGAGGTCTGTAATTTTTATCATAGGTACACTTCAACTGTGAGAGACGGAACTAAAACAAAAATCCAGAAAATCACATTGTATGATTTTTAAGTAATTTGCATTTTATTGCATGACATAAGTATTTGATACATCAGAAAAGCAGAACTTAATATTTGGTACAGAAACCTTTGTTTGCAATTACAGAGATCATACGTTTCCTGTAGGTCTTGACCAGGTTTGCACACACTGCAGCAGGGATTTTGGCCCACTCCTCCATACAGACCTTCTCCAGATCCTTCAGGTTTCGGGGCTGTCGCTGGGCAATACGGACTTTCAGCTCCCTCCAAAGATTTTCTATTGGGTTCAGGTCTGGAGACTGGCTAGGCCACTCCAGGACCTTGAGATGCTTCTTACGGAGCCACTCCTTAGTTGCCCTGGCTGTGTGTTTCGGGTCGTTGTCATGCTGGAAGACCCAGCCACGACCCATCTTCAATGCTCTTACTGAGGGAAGGAGGTTGTTGGCCAAGATCTCGCGATACATGGCCCCTTCCATCCTCCCCTCAATACGGTGCAGTCGTCCTGTCCCCTTTGCAGAAAAGCATCCCCAAAGAATGATGTTTCCACCTCCATGCTTCACGGTTGGGATGGTGTTCTTGGGGTTGTACTCATCCTTCTTCCTCCTCCAAACACGGCGAGTGGAGTTTAGACAAAAAAGCTATATTTTTGTCTCATCAGACCACATGACCTTCTCCCATTCCTCCTCTGGATCATCCAGATGGTCATTGGCAAACTTCAGATGGGCCTGGACATGCGCAGGCTTGAGCAGGGGCACCTTGCGTGCGCTGCAGGATTTTAATCCATGACGGCGTAGTGTGTTACTAATGGTTTTCTTTGAAACTGTGGTCCCAGCTCTCTTCAGGTCATTGACCAGGTCCTGCCGTGTAGTTCTGGGCTGATCCCTCACCTTCCTCATGATCATTGTTGCCCCACTAGGTGAGATCTTGCATGGAGCCCCAGACCGAGGGTGATTGACCGTCATCTTGAACTTCTTCCATTTTCTAATAATTGCGCCAACAGTTGTTTCATTCTCAACAAGCTGCTTGCCTATTGTCCTGTAGCCCATCCCAGCCTTGTGCAGGTCTACAATTTTATCCCTGATGTCCTTACACAGCTCTCTGGTCTTGGCCATTGTGGAGAGGTTGGAGTCTGTTTGATTGAGTGTGTGGACAGGTGTCTTTTATACAGGTAACGAGTTCAAACAGGTGCAGTTACAGGTAATGAGTGGAGAACAGGAGGGCTTCTTAAAGAAAAACTAACAGGTCTGTGAGAGCCGGAATTCTTACTGGTTGGTAGGTGATCAAATACTTGTCATGCAATAAAATGCAAATTAATTACTTAAAAATCATACAATGTGATTTTCTGGATTTGTTTTAGATTCCGTCTCTCACAGTTGAAGTGTACCTATGATAAAAATTACAGATCTCTACATGCTTTGTAAGTAGGAAAACCTGCAAAATCGGCAGTGTATCAAATAATTGTTCTCCCCACTGTACCACTGGTGGGAAAATGCTGATATTTCCTTTGAGGATTCTAGATTATTCGCATAATCAGGTTCGTCAGAGGATGTTGCTTGCAAATAGGGATGTTAATTGTTAACTGTAAACCGCCTAAATACATGTAACCAGTCATGCTTGTCGGATTATAGGTGAATTTGAATAATGTAGTAAAATTAAATAAGTGTGTGTATTTGTATAATTCGCTATACATCTTAATTATCACACACCCACCGCATACAGAGCAAAGTTTAAGCGGAACATCACCTGGTCAGCAGCGAGAGCTCGCAGCTCCTCAAATAGCTGGTTGCTATTTAAGCCTGGTCCTTGCGCAACATTTCTAAATGCAATCGCGTGAGAAAACAGTTTTGATGGTCACCATTAAAAAAAGGGGGATCACTGCTTTCCATTGCTACTATATTTATTTCTCAACTTGTAATATCAAGCAGATTGCACTGTTTTATAACCTGAGTAGCTTATCTGGCATGGCTTATATTAAAAAGGAACCACGGGATGTCCATTCGCCATTCCAGTGCATAGGCAATACGGTATAAGACAGACAACGTTGTCACTCTGAAAATAGACAACTCACACCCCCGTTACATTCATTTGTTTTATGCTACAATATTTTTGCCAGTTGTTGGAAAAGCTGATTGTGTAAAATTTGCCAATAGGCTTTTTTTTTTTACATTGGCTATTTCATTTCAGTAGTTGAATGAATGTTCAATAATATAGCCTCTTGACTGTGATGATAGGCTTGCTATTGTCATGTTTCAGCTCTTAATAAAACATGTAAGTTCCTTGTACGCATGCATTAGTATTTTCTGTGGGTCACGTCATTTTACTAGTTGGAACGAGTTTATCCGGTTGTAAACCCCTAGAGTTGTTCTAAGTTACATAACAAAAAAAAATCCATACAAATCCATCAGTGTAAGGATTTTTTTGCATTGGATGAGTCTCAACCCACCGCCTCCGCCTTCTGCATCTGCGGTGGAAGCTGGCAGAGCCAAGTGCGGTGTTTGTCAGACCACGAGACATCCCAAAAATTGGTCTTCTTACAAAAACGTCTGTACCGAACGGTTTGACATAAAAACTATTATGACCACTCTATGGAAAGGGGAGATTCTCACAAACATGGTGTTCTCGGTTTTGATCTACGACCCCCACAAGTGTCATGGGACTCGTCTGAAGGTAACCGGTACCGGTTTAAAAAAACAAATGGAAGTATGAAGGTATTTTATGCCTAGCCAAAAAAAGGGGTTAAATATGTGTAAAAAAAATAATTTTCCAGATTTACAAAATATATATATCTACTAGATTTAGGACAGACACCTTGTTTCTTATTACACAATTTTTTGTGTCCTTTTTGCCATTTATGAATGTGTTGAATGCGTTTCTTTGGGCTTTAGTTGTAAAGGCCAAAAACCAATATCGTGGTCCTCTGTAGCTCAATTGGTAAAGCATGGCGCTTATAACGCCAGGGTAGTGGGTTCGATTCCCGGGACCACCTATACCTAAAAATGTATGCACACATGACTAAGTCACTTTGGATAAAAGCGTCTGCTAAATGGCATATTATTATAAATACAATTCTAAATCAAATAGCTAAATGATTCATAGTACGACCATCTTAAAACAACTACATGTCAGCTTAGCAACCCCGCCTCCCCCAACGTCTTAGACTAAAGAATTCACCAGTTAATGGGGGTTGGTTAGTCGGCAGCAAAATTGACCAAAATTTGTATCCCTTCCTGCAAATACTGTACCTTGGCGTCGTTCTCCAGGCCGTGCAGCTGTCGGAGTATCTTGAGTCTCTCCTGGTAGACTGAGGGTCTGAGCTCCTCTCTGCCAGGAGTAGGGTCCAGACCCACACCTAATAAGGATAAATAATAGGTTAGAACAGGTGGTGTTGAGAAGCATTTGTGTGCACCTGTTGTGAGGGGCTGTATCCTCTATGCCTCCCCTCTGTTGTTTTTTCTGTCATTTAGCAGACGCTCTTATCCAGAGCGACTTAGCTAGTGAGTGCATACATTTTCATACTGGCCCCCCGTGGGAAACGAACCCACAACCCTGGCGTTGCAAGCGCCATGCTCTACCAAATGACCTACAGGGGACTGTTGTGTGTGTACCTGTGGTGGGGGATGGTATCCTGGCCTTGTCTCCTCTCTCTGTGCAGAGTGTGTTCAGGCTGTGTTCTACAAAGGTCTGAAAGGTCTGTGGCAGCTTCTTCAGGTGGGAGGCAAGGTCCACCTCAGGGTGTCTCTGCTTAAACTCCCACAGCTTAGACAGACCCTACACACACACAATTAAAGAGAGTCATGCTGTCAGGGAAACACTATGGCAGAGCATGGAAAAACCCAGACCCATCACACTGGGTAGGAAGACCCGCTCACACACACGGCTGATGCCAAACCTCTCATCCCTAACCTAAGGCCCATATTTTGTAGATTATGTTCTAGGGTTAGATTGTCTGACAGTAATTACATGGAATCTGAACCTCACCTCTTTGCTGTTCTCCTTGGAAGATATATTTTTGAAGATCTCCCCCAACACCTCTGCATCCTTTGATTTGTGAACCTTTTAGGAGACAACAGATATAATATATAATGAGGCTTTATACTCAGTAACAAGCAGCATTGAGTGTCTTTGATGGAAATGTAGAACCATTTCTGTCATGAGGGAAACAGAGCCCCTGTGAACAAACTAGATGTGTAGGAGTGTACCGTGTGTGCAGTCTCTCTTTCCGTCTTGGCAGACTTGACAACCTTCTTCAGATGAGCCTCCAACTCAGACTCACTCTTGTCCTCGATAAGTGACAGGTGATCCAGGATCTGTTTGTGGAAAAGACAAATACTCAAAACAAACAAAAACTATTGGGATTAATGTTTAAATCAAGTTTTAGTAAATGTATCACGCCAAGTCAGTGAACATGCATATAATCATGACATAATGGGTCTGTCATGAAAGCCAACAACCTGAGTAAACTGGCTGCGTGTGCACCATCATGTTTATGTTGATTTTGTCCACCCACACCAGACGTGATAATGATACAGAGGTTAAAATATCTACACCAACTGTGAATCAATTATATTAATTTGGGGGCAGCTGGAGAAACACATGAAACGTTAATGGACATTTAGCTAGCTAGTTTGTGTCCTGGGAAATTAACAGTGGGGTGTTATTTTACCTGAAATGCATATGGTCCTTTTTTTGGTGGCCGGATCTTTGTATACTTTGACCCAGAGTCATACAAAATCATGCGTTTCTCTAATCTGACGATTAAGCCACAGATAAAAGGGGAAACCTAGTTTGTTATCTTTGATAAATCTCTCCTCGGTCATCTTCCAAGCCCCAACGTGAAAACCAATGAGTAGATGGAACAGGCTGTGCCGAGTGTCTCAAATAGAACCAAGTTCTATTTTAGCATTTTGCAACTGACGGTCGTTGACACGCGCAAGCAGTGTACATGTAATGAATAACATGTACACGTTAAATTATTTTGCAACGCTCGCAACACGCCCAGTGTGGTTGGGTGTAAGGCACAGAAATATAAAATAAGCAAATTATGAGGAGCAAAGGAGAATCCAATGGTGTTTAAATAAGCAAATTACACTACATGACCAAAAGTATGTGGACACCTGCTCGTCGAACATCTCATTCCAAAATCATGGGCATTAATATGGCGTTGGTACCCCCTTTTTTCCTATAACAGTCTCCACTCTTCTGGGAAGGCTTTCCACTAGATGTTGGAATATTGCTGCGGGGACTTGTTTCCATTCAGCCACAGGAGCATTAGTGAGGTCGGGCACTGACGGGCGATTAGGCCTGGTTCGCAGTCGGCGTTCCAATTTATCCCAAAGGTGTTCAATGGAGTTGCGGTAAGGGCTCTATGCAGGCCAGTCAAATTCTTCCGCACCAATCTTGACAAACCATTTCTGTATGGACCTCGCTTTGTGCCCAGAAGCATTGTCATGCTGAAACAGGAAATGGCCTTCCCCAAACTGTTGCCACAAAGTTGGACGCACAGAATTGTCTAGATTGTCAATGTATGCTGTAGTGTTAAGATTTCACGTCACTGGAACTAGCCCGAACCATGAAAAACACTGTTGGCACTATGCATTGGGGCAGTTTGCGTTCTCTTGGCATCCGCCAAACACATATTTGTTCGTCGGACTGCCAGATGATGAAGCGCGATTCATCACTCCAGAGAACGCGTTTCCACTGCTCCACAGTCCAACGGCGGCAAGCTTTACACCACTCCAGCCAACACTTGGCATTGCACATGGTGATCTTAGGCTTGTGTGCTGCTGCTTGGCCATGGAAACCCATTTCATTAAGCTCCCGACGAACAGTTATTGTGCTGACGTTGCTTCCAGAGGCAGTTTGGAACTCGGTAGAGAGTGTTGCAACCGAGGACAGACGATTTTTATGCGCTACGCGCTTCAGCGTTTCTGTTCTGTGAGCTTGTGTGGCCTGCCACTTTGCAGCTGAGCAGTTGTTGCACCTAGACGTTTATACTTCACAACGGCAGCACTTACAGTTGACCGGGGCAGCTCTAGCTGGGCAGAAATTTGATGAACTGACTTGTTGGAAAGGTGGCATTCTATGACGGTGCCACATTGAAAGTCACGGAGCTCTTCAGTAAGGCCATTCTACTGCCAATGTTTGTCTATGGAGATTGCATGGCCATGTGCTCGATTTTATACACCTGTCAGCAACAGGTGTGGCTGAAATAGCCGAATCCAGTCATTTGAAAGGGTGTCCACATACTTTTAGATAGATAGATAGAGAGTGTATGAGGATGCAAAGGGGAATCTAATGGTGTGTGTGTGTTCCCACCGTGGGCCCTGCCAGGCGGCAGAGTGTGTGTAGCAGAGTTTTGAGCGTGCGGTGGGGCGTGTCAGTCTTGAGCTGCCGTAGGCGGTCTTTGGGGAAGAGCTTCATGAAGTTGTGCACATCCAGCAGGATCTTGTCCAGATTAAGACGGTTTATGGTATCAGGCAGGAACCTGATCATACGCCACAGACACTACACACAGAGAGAGAGAGAGGTTTAGATTACATACACAGGTCCTTGATGGCAGGGAGCTCGGCCCCAGTGATGTGCTGGGCTGTCCGCACCACCAAGTACATCACTGGGACTGACCTCCCTGCCATCCAGGACCTCTATATCAGGAGGTGTGAAAGGAAGGCCCAGAAAATTGTTAAAGACTCCAGCCACCCAAGCCATAGCCTGTTCTCTCAGCTTCCACACAGCAAGCGGTACCGGAGAATCAAGTCTGACACCAATAGACCCCTGAACAGCTTCTATCCTCAAGCCATAAGACTGCTAAATAGCTAACAAAATGGCTACATTGACATCTGCATTGACCTTTCCATTTAACTTTTGCACTTTTTGCGCACACACACACACACACACACTCCATGCACACTCTACACACACACACTTAATTTGCTCACACACACACATTCATACTGACACAACACGCACGCACACACTGACATACAATCATCATATACACTGCTGCTACTCTGTTTATCATACACTGAGTATACAAAACATTAATAACACCTTCCTAACACTGAATTGAGTTGTGCGCGCAACCCCTCCCCACACACACACCCCTTTTGCCCTCAGAAAAGCCTCAATTTGTCAGGTCATGACTCTGCAAGGTGTCGAAAGCATTCCACAGTAATAATAATAATAATAATATGCCATTTAGCAGACGCTTTTATCCAAAGCGACTTACAGTCATGCGTGCATACATTTTTTGTGTATGGGTGGTCCCGGGGATCGAACCCACTACCTTAGCGTTACAAGCGCCGTGCTCTACCAGCTGAGCTACAGAGGACCACAGGGATGCTGGCCCATGTTGACTCCAACGCTTCCCACAGTTGAGTCAAGTTGGCTGGATGTCCTTTGGGTGGTGGACCATTCTTGATACACATGGAAATTGTTGAGCGTGAAAAACCCAGCTGCGTTGCAGTTCTTGACACTCAAACCAGTGCGCCTGGCACCTACTACCACACCCTATTCAAAAGGTACTTAAATATTTTGTCTTTCCCATTCACCCTCAATGGCACACATACACAATCCATGTCTCAAGGGTTAAAAATCGTTCTTTAACCTGTCTCCTCCCCTTCAGCTACACTGATTGAAGCGGATTTAACAAGTGACATCAATAAGGGATCATAGACTGACCAGGTGAAAACCATGTCATGGGAAGAGCAGGTGTTCTTAATGTTTTGTACACACAGCGTATACCCTGATGCCCAGTCACCTTACCCCTATACATATCTACCCTACCACTCCAGTATCCCTGCACATTGTAAATACGGTATTGGCACTGACCCTGGAACTGACCCTGTGTTTTTGTTCTACTTGACTTAATTTTTTATAGTACTACTGATATTTGATTACTGCATTGTTGGGAAAGAGCAAGCAAGAAAGGCATTTCAATGTACTAGTGCACGTGACAATAACTTGAAACACAGGACAGTGGACAAAAAATTAAATACAGTTTTTCACAAATTGGACCAAACATTTTTACCTTCATGATGAGTTCAGAGAATTTGGGGGAGCAAGCGGAGGACAGGAGGCTGTCCTGCAGTAGCACCAGAAGAGCACTGGAGAAAAAGCGGTGACAGCACATTAATAAACATAACAGTACCTGCTAGAAGACCATCTGATCAGTCCTCTCCAATTCTACATCATACAAATGAATAAACTAATACAATTATTTGATGCTTACAGGTCTGCTTTCTCCAGCGTACAGTACACACAGAGCATTTGGTGCCGTTCAAGATTAGGGAGACTATTTTTTTTTGGGGGGACCATGGCCTTATTTCCATTACAGCATATTGGATGACTGTCATTCATATTCGATTCACCCAGCTCAAAGTAACAGCGATAGGTTTAGGCTACTACATCATTCTCAAATTTGCCCTAAACCAATCAAGAGATTGCTACAACCTAGCCTACAAATGAAATTTTATAACGTAGGTTCACAGGTCGAGAGACAAATTGGTGTAGTCAAGGTGACCGACAGTGACACATTCAATACCGCCTTGAAGTGGCACAGTGGTCTAAGGCACTGCATCGCAGTGCTAACTGTGCCACTAGAGATCCTGGTTCGAATCCAGGCTCTGTCGCAGCCGGCCGCGACCGGGAGACTCATGGGCGGCGCACAATTGGCCCAGCGTCGTCCAGGGTAGGGGAGGGAATGGCCGGCAGGGATGTAGCTCAGTTGATAGAGCATGGCGTTTGCAACGCCAGGGTTGTGGGTTCAATTCCCACGGGGGGCCAGTATAAAAAAATAATAATATATGTATTCACTAACTGTAAGTCGCTCTGGATAAGAGCGTCTGCTAAATGACTAAAATGTAAATGTAAACACGCTTGCCTGCATCTAGCTGATCTGAGGTGTAATCATTTGTTCAAACAGTTGCAAAACAAGAGTTTCTATTGGACAAATTCAGGTAAGGTCCCTCCACATTTTGTTTGCTTCCGTTTAGCTCTGATCACCCGCACACATAGTTCACTTCCATAGCAGCCACATCCAGCATTATCACTTTGCTTATTGTATAATTACTTCTTGCATCTACGCGCTTTCCTCCTCACCTTTTCCCTTCACTTGTGGACTTCAGTGCACAACACAACAAATCTAAAATCAACCGTCTGACCAGTCGCAAAAACCTATCCAAGCCAAACCTTCATATCATAATGGCTAACCAGCCTAAATTGTTGTCACCATATTGTTAGCCAACAAACTAGAACTAAACGTGTTAGTAAACCCACAATCCAATCTGTGTAGTTTAGCAGTTACACTGGCCAGCCCCGGTGACAATAATTAATACAACCGGAAGCTTACCTTGACTTGGAAGTTACAGTGCTTGATAGCAAGCTAACATATGCAGTACCAGTCAAAAGTTCGGAAACACCTACTCATTCAAGGGTTTTTCTTTATTTTTGTAGAATAATAGTGAGGACATCAAAACTATTAAATAACACATGGACTCATGTAGTAACTAAAAAAGTGTTAAACAAATCAAAATATATTTTAGATTTTAGATTATTCAAAGTAGCCACCCTTTGCCTTGATGACAGCTTAAAAAATTATTGGAATTCTCTAAACCATGCTTTTCCAACAGTCTTGAAGGAGTTCTCACATATGCTGAGCACTTGTTGGCTGCTTTTCCTTCACTCTGCAGTCCAACTCATCTCAAACCATCTCAATTGGGTTGAGGTTGGGTGATTGTGGAGGCCAGGTCATCTGATGTGGCACTCCATTGCTCTCCTTCTTGGTTAAATAGCCCTTACACAGCCTGGAGGTGTGCTGGGTCATTGTCCTGTTGAAAAACAAATGATAGTCCCACTAAGCGCAAACCAGATGGGATGGCGTATCGCTGCAGAATGCTGTGGTAGCCATGCTGGTTAAGTGTGCCTTGAATTCTAAATAAATCAGAGACAGTGTCACCAGCAAAGCACCCCCACACCACCTCCTCCATGCTTCACGGTGGGAACCACACATTCTGAGATTATCCGTTCACCTACTCTGCGTATAACAAAGACACGGCGGTTGGAACCAAAAATCAAGACTCATCAGACCAAAAGGACAGATTTCCACCGGTCTAAGGTTCATTGCTCGTGTTTCAAGGCCCAAGCGTCTTCTTATTGGTGTCCTTTAGTAGTGGTTTCTTTGCAGCAATTCGACCATGAAGGCCTGATTCACGCAGTCTCCTCTAAACAGTTGATGTTGAGTTGTGTCTGTTACTTGAACTCTGAAGCATTATTTGGGCTGCAATTTCTGAGGCTGGTAACTAATGAACTTATCGTCTGCAGCAGAGGTAACTCTGGGTCTTCCTTTCCTGTGGTGGTCCTCATGAGAGCCAGTTTCATCATAGCGCTTGATGGTTTTTGCGACTGCACTTGAAGAAACTTTCAAAGTTCTTGAAATGTTCCAGATTGACTGACCTTCATGTCTTAAAGTAATGATGGACTGACGTTTATCTTTGCTTATTTGAGCTGTTCAAGCCATAATATGGACTTGGTCTTTTACCAAATAGGGCAATCTTCTGTATACCACCCCTACCTTGTCACAACACAACTGATTGGCTCAAACACATAAAGGAGGAAAGAAATTCCACAAATTAACTTTTAAGAAGGCACACCTGTAAATTGAAATGCATTCCAGGAGACTACCTCATGAAGCTGGTTGAGAGAATGCCAAGAGTGTGCAAAGCTGTCATCAAGGCAAGGGGTGGCTATTTGAAGAATCTCAAATATAAAATATATTTTGATTTGTTTAACACTTTTTTGGTTACTACATGATTCAATGTGTTATTTCATAGTTTTGATGTCTTCACTATTATTCTACAATGTAGAAAATAGTAAAAATAAAGAAAAACCCTGTCCAAACTTTTGACTGGTACTGTATATCATTCCTCTCAGAGTCAGGTTGTTGAGTAGGCCAAATGAACGAAGGAAAATATATATATATATATATAGCTAGCTCTTGCTGCTGCTTGTCCTTAATATTTGAAGAAATTAATTTGTTAAAAACTGTTCAACTATTGTCTCGCTGTAGCTTATGCTTTTAGTACTAAACAGAAACGTCCTCTCTGTCAAATTAGTTTATTTTCAGCAAACTTAACATGTGTAAATATTTGTATGAACATAACAAGATTCAACAGACATAAACTGAACAAGTTCCACAGAAATTGAATAATGTGTCACTGAACAAAGGGGGGGGGGGGGGGTATCTGGTGTGGCCACCAGCTGCATTAAGTACTGCAGTGCATCTCCTCCTCATGGACTGCACCAGATTTGCCAGTTCTTGCTGTAAGATGCTACACCACTCTTCCACCAAGGCATCTGCAAGTTCCCTGACATTTCTGGGGGGAATGGCCCTAGCACTCACCCTCCGATCCAACAGGTCCAAAAATGCGCTCAATGGGATTGAGATCAGGGCTCTTCGCTGGCCATGGCAGAACACTGACATTCCTGTCTTGCAGGAAATCACACACAGAACGAGCAATATGGCTGGTGGCATTGTCACGCTGGAGGGTCATATCAGGATGATACACCGCCCCAGACCATGACGGACCCTCCACCTCCAAATCGATCCCGCTCATTCCTTCGACGATAAACGCGAATCCGACCATCACCCCCGTTGAGACAAAACCGCGACTCGTCTGTGAAGAGCACTTTTTGCCAGTCCTGTCTGGTCCAGTGACGGTGGGTTTGTGCCCATAGGCGACGTTGTTGCCGGTGATGTCTGGTGAGGACCTGCCTTACAACAGGCCTAAAAGCCCTCAGTCCAGCCTCGCTCAGCCTATTGCCGACAGTCTGAGCACTGATGGAGGGATTGTGCATTCCTGGTGTAACTCGGGCAGTTGTTGTTGCCATCCTGTACCTGTCCCGCAGGTGTGATGTTCGGATGTACCCATCCTGTGCAGGTGTTACACGTGGTCTGTCACGGTGAGGACAATCAGCTGTCCGTCCTGTCTCTCTGTAGTGCTGTCTTAGGCATCTCACAGTACGGACATTGCCATTTATTGCCCTGGCCACATCTGCAGTCCACATGCCTCCTTGCAGCATGCCTAAGGCACGTTCACGCAGATGAGCAGGGACCCTGGGCATCTTTTTTTTGGTGTTTTTCAGAGTCAGTAGAAAGGCCTCTTTAGTGTCCTAAGTTTTCATAACTCTGACCTTAATTGCCTACCGTCTGTAAGCTGTTAGTGTCTTAATGACCGTTCCACAGGTGCATGTTCATTAATTGTTTATGGTTCATTGAACAAGCATGGGAAACAGTGTTTAAACCCTTTACAATGAAGAAGATCTGTGAAGTTATTTGGATTTTTACAAATCATCTTTGAAAGACAGGGTCGTTTCTTTTTCTGCTGAGTTTAGATTCATTCTCTGATCATTTGATTGGATGGACAACATGTCAGTTCATACGGCAAGAGCTCTGAGGTTGGAGGACATCCTCCGGAAGTCGTCATAAATCACTGTGTAAGTCTATGGAAGAGTGTGAGAACCATGAGCCTCCTAGGTTTTGTATTGAAGTCAATGTACCCAGAGGACGGAAACTATCTGTCCTCCAGCTACACCATGGTGCTACCCTAGAGGGTGCTGTTGAGGCTACTGTAGACCGTCATTGCAAAACAGTTTTTTTAAATCAGTTATTTGTTGACGTGAATATATTTAGTCGTTTTAACTAAAAAGGATACCTTTAATGTTTCACTATTTTTATGAAATTCACCGAGTATGATTGTCCTCCCCTTCCTCCACTGACACATACACACACACCTGAGTATGTTGGTCTGGTCTGAGCCCTCGAAGAGTCGTCTCAGCAGCATGTTAACAGAGCGGATGAGCTGTTGTCCCTCCTGGCTCTCCTCTATCCGGGGGTCCAGCAGAACTGTCACCAGACCCTGGACCAGGTCCTTTAGCACCCCCATGGAGGCTTCCCTCGCCAGCCGTGCCACACCAAACAACTAGGGAGATAAGGTATAATGTACACTATTATATTAACAGCCCCTGATGGAAATAAGGTGTGAATAAGTTGTTTTAGTCTTACTCTCATTCATCTTAAAAGCAGTGTACTGTGTGGCTGAACACAGTCCAAATTACTCAACTACAATCGCTTTAAGTCTATGTGAAAGACCTAAACAGACCAATTTCTAAATCTTAAAGATGAACTAAACAAAACAAAAAACAGGAATGGGCAATGATTTAAATAGCTACAACCATGTTTGTGAAATTCATGGCTATCTATGTTGCAGTTTAATAAAAATAAGTGGCTGCAGTTCCGGATTTTCTTGCCATAGCTAATGAGAGATTTCTCTGCATGTGCAGGATTTTTTTCCCGTACATAACTGCTGCCCACTCAACTACAATCTCTAAGTCTAAACCATGCATGAAACTCCAATTCTAACTGCATTCGTAAAACAATGCCACTCGCACAATTGAAGGAGTAAATAAATAAGTCAGCAATGGAAAACTGGGACCTCCCTCTTTTTAACAAAAGTCCAAACTGCTTTGAAGTGTTTTCCCACGAATGCATTACGATTTGTTTCCCCTGCTTGTCAGAATACGTTTCCCTCCCCATGGCTCTCGCAACTTGAATGCGCCTCTAGAGGATTATTTATCTTGCATAGAACACACAAGCTGACTAGGTAAGTAGGTAAACTATTCTACTATAGGGTAGGTAACAATACTGATACGCTGATCCTCAACACGGGGGCCCCTCAGGGGTGCGTGCTCAGTCCCCTCCCGTTCATCCATGACTGCATGGCCAGGCACGACTCCAACACCATCATTAAGTTTGCCGACGACAACTGTGGGAGGCCTGATCACAGACAACGATGAGACAGCCTATAGGGAGGAGGTCAGAGACCTGGCCGTGTGGTGCCAGGATAACAACCTCTCCTCAACGTGATCAAGAAAAAGGAGATGATTGTGGACTACAGGAAAAAAAGAGGACTGAGCATGCCCCCATTCTCATCGACGGGGCTGTAGTGGAACTGGTTGAGAGCTTCAAGTTCCTTGGTGTCCACATCACCAACAAACTATCATGGTCCAAACACACCAAGACAGTCATGAAGAGGGCATGACAAAGCCTATTCCCCCTCAGGAGACTTGGCATGGGTCAAAGATCCTCAAAAAGTTATATAGCTGCACCAGCGAGAGCATCCTGACTGGTTGCATCACCGCCTGGTATGGCAACTGCTCGGCCTCCGACCGCAAGGCACTACAGAGGGTAGTGCGTACGGCCCAGTACATCACTGGGGCCAAGCTTCCTGCCATCCAGGACCTCTATACCAGGCGGTGTCAGAGGAAGGCCCTAAAAATTGTCAGACTCCAGCCACCCTAGTCATAGACTGTTCTCTCTGCTACCGCACAGCAAGCGGTACCGAAGCGCCATGTCTAGGTCCAAACTGATTTTTAACAGCTTCTACCCTCAAGCCATAATCATGGCTACCCAGACTATTTGCATTGTCCCCCCCACCCCATCTTTTACGCTGCTGCTACTCTGTTTATTATCTATGCATAGTAACTTTAACTCTACCCACATGTACATATTACTTCAATTACATCGACTAACCGGTGCCCCCGCACATTGACTTCGGGAATAAACAGTCATGCTTCGGTATTAGGCTGTCAAACCAGCCACCACCCCCCCCTGAGATTTTCATTGCAGATCTACACTGGTCTCAAAAACAACTTCCAGAATCCATGACAGAAATCCATTGCAGTGATGGAGACCTTTAACCCGAGTATTGCAAACATAAGCACGACACACAGGCAGTCTAGCGATTATGTTCTTCTTAGCTGCTGAGTTACATGTAGATATTTAGGCAAGCATATCAAACAAGCAAAACAGATAGGCAGTCAAAATAGCGATGCAATGTTATTTTCTCATCATTGCAAGCATTGGCTCGTTCTTTTTTCAGCAACTCTCGTTATGATATGGCAGCATACTATTAAGATAATCATCACAAATAGTAGGCAGGTTAAAGCAGTAGGTGACAAACGACATAGGGAATAATAGTGCACAGGGCTATGCAAAACAAACTTGCCCATTGTCAGACTGGTTATAGGTCCGGATACATGTTCGGCTGCCCAGAGGCGGAACAGCTAGGTAGCCTACTCGTGTGGGACTTGCATGATCATTGAGAAGCGAAATAGCAGATAGTAGGGCCCGTGTGTGGTTAAAACGCAGTTGCAAAACTCAAGTGGGGCGTTACATGCAGTTATCTAGGCAGGATATCAAACATAAGCGAGACACAGACACACAGTATAATTAGCGATTTAATTTTATTTTTTTATCATCATTGCAACCATTGACTAGCAGGAGGCAGACATGCAGTCAAAGTAGTAGTGTTCATTTTTCAGGAACTCTGGCTAGTGGCTACGATATGGCAGCAACTATAAAGATTAGCCTACACCACAAAAAAAGCATTTCACTACACCTGCAATGACATCTGCTAAACATGTGTATGTGACAAACAAAATTGGAGTTGATTGACTGTTTTTGCTCCAATGCAATGTGTAGGGACAGTGTCCTGCTTGTGCAACGGCAATATCCATTACAACAGACTGGTTGTATAGCCTTCATAATATAATCGATCTATCCATCTATATATTGGAATGCTTGTTCAAATCGCCACAAGGTTTTTATTTCAACTGTTCAGAAATACGAGGCAGAGACATACATATAGGCTACACCATCATGGTTCAGAAGAGGGTGAGTAAAGAGAAACAAAGGGAGTGGGAGTGTGTGCAGCAGCTACGTAATAACACATGCGCAGAACGTGATCCGGATCCTTAGCTTTGAGAAATACAGTGAGGGAAAAAAGTATTTGATCCCCTGCTGAGTTTGTACATTTGCCCACTGACAAAGACATGATCAGTCTATAATTTTAATCGTAGGTTTATTTGAACAGTGAGAGACAGAATAACAACAAAAAAATCCAGAAAAACGCATGTCAAAAATGTTATAAATCTATTTGCATTGTAATGAGGGAAATAAGTATTTGACCCCTCTGCAAAACATGACTTAGTACTTGGTGGCAAAACCCTTGTTGACAATCAGAGGTCAGACGTTTCTTGTAGTTGGCCACCAGGTTTGCACACATCTCAGGAGGGATTTTGTCCCACTCCTCTTTGCAGATCTTCTCCAAGTCATTAAGGTTTCAAGGCTGACGTTTGGCAACTCGAACCTTCAGCTCCCTCCACAGATTTTCTATGGGATTAAGGTCTGGAGACTGGCTAGGCCACTCCAGGACCTTAATGTGCATCTTCTTGAGCCACTCCTTTGTTGCCTTGGCCGTGTGTTTTGGGTCATTGTCATGCTGGAATATCCATCCACGACCCATTTTCAATGCCCTGGCTGAGGGAAGGAGGTTCTCACCCAAGATTTGACGGTACATGGCCCCGTCCATCGTCCCTTTGATGTGGTGAAGTTGTCCTGTCCCCTTAGCAGAACCCCCCCCCCCAAAGCGTAATGTTTCCACCTCCATGTTTGACGGTGGGGATGGTGTTCTTGGGGTCATAGGCAGCATTCCTCCTCCTCCAAACACGGCGAGTTGAGTTGATGCCAAAGAGCTCCATTTTGGTCTCATCTGACCACAACACTTTCACCCAGTTCTCCTCTGAATCATTCAGATGTTCATTGGCAAACTTCAGACGGGCATGTATATGTGCTTTCTTGAGCAGGGGGACCTTGCAGGCACTGCAAGATTTCAGTCCTTCACGGCGTAGTGTGTTACCAAATGTTTTCTTGGTGACTATGATCCCAGCTGCCTTGAGATCATTGACAAGATTTTAAATGTTTTATATTTTAGTCATTTAGCAGACGCTCTTATCCAGAGCGACTTACAGTTAGTGAGTGCATACATTTTTATTTTTTTCATACTGGCCCCCCGTGGGAATCGAACCCACAACCCTGCCGTTGCAAACGCCATGCTCTACCATCTGAGCTACATCCCTGCCGGCCATACCCTCCCCTACCCTGGACGACGCTGGGCCAATTGTGTGCCGCCCCATGGGTCTCCCGGTCGCGGCCGGCTACGACAGAGCCTGGATTCGAACCAGGATCTCTAGTGGCACAGCTAGCATTGCGATGCAGTGCCTTAGACCACTGCGCCACTCGGGAGACATCCTCCCGTGTAGTTCTGGGCTGATTCCTCACCGTTCTCATGATCATTGCAACTCCACGAGGTGAGATCTTGCATGAAGCCCCAGGCCGAGGGAGACCGACAGGTCTTTTGTGTTTCTTCCATTTGCGAATAGTCGCACCAACTGTTGTCACCTTCTCACCAAGCTGCTTGGCGATGGTCTTGTAGCCCATTCCAGCCTTGTGTAGGTCTACAATCTTGTCCCTGACATCCTTGGAGAGCTCTTTGGTCTTGGCCATGGTGGAGAGTTTGGAATCTGATTGATTGATTGCTTCTGTGGACAGCTGTCTTTTATACAGGTAACAAACTGAGATTAGGATTACTCCCTTTAAGAGTGTGTTCCTAATCTCAGCTCGTTAACTGTATAAAAGACACCTGGGAGCTAGAAATCTTTCTGATTGAGAGGGGGTCAAATACTTATTTCCCTCATTAAAATGCAAATCAATTTATAACATTTTTGACACACGTTTTTCTGGATTTTGTTGTTGTTATTCGGTCTCTCACTGTTCAAATAAACCTACCATTATTTATTATAGACTGATCATGTCTTTGTCAGTGGGCAAACGTACAAAATCAGCAGGGGATCAAATACTTTTTTCCCCCTCACTGTATATTTTTTTTATTATGTTTTAGAACACCTACTCATTCAAGGGTTTCTTAATTTTTTACTATTTTCTACATTGTAGAATAATAATGAAGACATCAAAACTATGAAATAACACATATGGGATCATGTAGTAACCAAAAAAAGTGTTAAATCAAAATATATATTTTATATTTGAGATTCTTCAAATAGCCACCCTTTGCCTTGATGACAGCTTTGCACACTCTTGGCATTCTCTTGGCATTCTCTCAACCAGCTTCACCTGGAATGCTTTTCCAACAGTCTTGAAGGAGTTCCCACATAAAATTAAAAAAATAATGTATGCACTCACTAACTGTAAGTCGCTCTGGATAAGAGCGTCTGCTAAATGACTAAAATGTAAATGTTGAGCACTTTTCGGCAGCTTTTCCTTCACTAGGTCTACAGAGCACAGCAGGACAGCACGCAAACAACATGGGGCGAGCCTTTGGCCATACAGTGGCCAGACAAAAGCAGGCAATAACCGATGCGGACGTGTGAAGGCTGGATGAGGGAGAGCAGCCAGGACCCCTGTCGTGATGCAAGGCTTCAGTAAATCACTAATTCCCCTTGTGCAAAACCAGAGCTCCACTCCCAAGCAACAAGAGAGGGAGAGGCCTCCTCTACCTTCAACCCTTTAGGCAAATGATTCCAATTGTAGTACAGTAGGACCTTGTAACTAGTACAAGTTGAAGAACATGGATAACCTATAATAGCTGTATGATATTTTCTATCAGATCTGGCTGAGATGTCTTAGAATACAGTTTTAGTTTTCTTCCCCTATAATAAAAATACACTACATGACCAAATGTATGTGGACGCCTGCTCGTCGAACATCTCATTCCAAAATCATGTGCATTAACATGGAGCTGGTACCCCCTTTGCTGCTATAACAGCCTCCACTCTTCTGGGAAGGCTTTCCACTAGATGTTGGAACATTGCTGCAAGGACTTGCTTCCATTCAGCCACAAGCACATTATGAGGTCGGGCACTGAAGTTGGGAGATTAAGCCTGGTTCGCAGTCGGCGTTCTAATTCATCCCAAAGGTGTTCAATGGGGTTGAGGTCAGGGCTCTGTGCAGTTGGTACTATGCAGTCGGGCAGGTAAGTGTTATCCTGGCATCCGCCAAACCCAGATTCGTCAGTCGGACTGCCAGATGGTGAAGCGTGAATCATCACTCCAGATTCCAATGGCAGTGAGCTTTACACCACTCCAGCCGATGCTTGGCATTGCGCATGGAGATCTTAGGCTTGTGTGCGGCTGCCGACGAACAGCTATTGCGAGGACGTTGTTTCCAGAGGCAGTTTGGAACTCTGTACTGAGTGTGTTGCAACGGTGGACAGACGATTTTTACGCGCTATGGTCTTCAGCACTTGGCGGTACCATTCTGTGAGCTTGTGTGGCCTACCACTTTGTGGCTGAGTAGTTGTTGCTCCTAGACATTTCCACTTAACAATAACAGCACTTACAGTTGACCGGGGCAGCTCTAGCAGGGCAGAAATTTGACAAACTGACTTGTTGGAAAGGTCGCATCCTATGACGGTGCCACGTTGAAAGTCACGAGCTCTCCAGTACGGGCCATTCTACTGCCAATGTTTGTCTATGGAGACTGCATGGCTGTGTGCTCGATTTTATTCCCGTCAGCAACGGGTGTGGCTGAAATAGCCGAATCCACCCATTTGAAGGGGTGTCCACATACTTTTGCATATATAGTGTATATTGTACCTACAACCCAATGGAAAATGTTTAATTAGGGCCAAATATGAACAATTTCTCAAATTAAGAATTCTCAATTACAGCAAATCATGCTATTAATGCAATTCATTTTTATATCGTATGACATCCCTAACACACACCTTTCATCCAGTACTCACTGTAAGCATGTTTCCAATGGCACAGCTGTAGAGTTTGAAGATGTCCTCCTTGGGAAGGCGTGTGTCAGCCATGTGTGTGCTGTGGGCCAGACGGAGCTGGAGGGAGGTAGCGATGAGGAACTGGTCTATGTGACCAACCATCACCTCCGCCCTGCTCTCCTGACGAAGCACCTCGTCTATCTACAGGGGGAGAGGAGAGAAGGTAATGGAAATACAACTGTGTGAGTGAGAGGATGAGGAGAAGAGAGATAGGTGAGCATGTGGGTGCATTCATGAGTGTATAGCTTCATCCAGGCGCACACACACACACCATAGCACATCTGTGTATACAAATACACTAATACACTTTGGAGTTGGACATTGGCGTTGTAGAAGAGAGATTAACTATGTGTGTACCTGTGCAAGGGCCTGCATGCTAGTGTTAATATCTCCAGAGGCCACCTGGGAGATAACCAGGTTGATGGTGGAGGAGGGGCCTGCGTGCAGCTCATCAAAGTTGGCGGGAACTGGGCGGAGCCTGGGGAGGAAGTACATCATCACTGAGGCACAGGACGACAGAGGCACAGTGCTGAAGTGCTTGGGCTCTGACATGTAGTGGGTGAATGGGTATGTTACTTGCTTGGGCAAGAGTTGCAGAGTTTATCAACTCAGACCTGGGCTATGAGCTACACTACATGACCAAAAGTATGTGGACACCTGCTCGTCAAACATCTCATTCCAAAATCATGGGCATTAATATGGAGTTGGTCCCCTCTTTGCTGCTCTAACAGCCTCCACTCTTCTGGGAAGGCGTTCCACTTGATGTTGGAACATTGCTGCTGGGACTTGCTTCCATTCAGCCACAGGAGCATTAGTGAGGTTGGGCACTGGCTGAAATAGCCGAATCCACTCATTTGAAGGTGTGTCCGAATACCTGTGTGTTTATTTTGCACTAGGTCAGGCAGCATGCTGACAGAGGTGTGTTTGTGTGGTAACCTCTTACTTGGGCTCTGGGATGATAACGGAGTCCAGCAGGTTATCTAGTTGGTGTTGCACCAGGTCAGGCAGCTCATCAGAGGTGTGGTCACTCTCCAGCTGCTCCAGCAGCTCCAGGTCCAGATGGAACTCCCCAACAGGGATAACATGGGAGGGCTCAGCCTGCTGGGACTGGACCAGGGTATTCAGACGGATCTGACTGGAAGGGGGAGGAGAATATAAGTTAAGGGCGGACAAAAAAGCAAAACATTTGAAATCATGTCTGTGCCAGTATTACTTAAATTGACCCACTCAAAGCTTTCATCTTTCTGTGAAATTATTTTATTTCAATGTTAAAGGAACGCAGTCAGATAAGGTAGTAGAAAATGTAAGTGAAAAGGTGGGTGAAGAGAATACAGTTCGAGATATAAGTAAAGTATTCTTGGTACAGATTAATTGAGGGGAACGTTGCGTACCTGAGTTTTATAGGGGGCTGCACTCTGTTGGAGGGCTTCAGTAGGAGGCTGGCATTGGAGTGAGCAGGCAGAGCCTTCTCCTCCCCCTGTTTGGGGGTAGGGGCTGTGGAGGCTGGGGTCTTCTTTGCTGAGCGTTTGATCCTCTCCTCCAACATGCTCATGTCCTTCTCCGACAGCTAAAGAGGACGAAGCGCGTGTTTGAGATGTACTACACTGCAGTCAGACTCCACAGTCCGACTGTAGTGTAGTCATTGTAGAGCAGTGATTTTGCGCAGTCGGACAGATCGACAATGACTACACAGCAGTCGGACTGCGCGGAATCATTGACAAACCTGTGCAGAGCCTTGCACCAACCGATCCCCTCAAACACGTAGTAGGATGAAACGACACCAACACTTGTATGCAGATCATTTGAATTAGGGATGTGACAAATTTACAATTGTGCTTAAGGTTTAAACCGCCATAAAATTCCATGTCAATACACAATGCAGAATAATGGTCCCATTACGAATATGACCGCTAGGGCCAGGCAATGAAGTTATATCGACCGCAGTCATAGATCCTTGAAAATGCCTTGCCTACGGCATGTTTGTCTGCAAGGTTACACTACGACTTTTTAAATGCCAACACGAAACCTTCTGAGATGAACGGGCATTTTACTTGTCTGTAAAGGAGTCCCACTTCAGAAGCGGAATTAACGTCCATCACTAGGCGACCAGAATTGTCAATCAAATAATCGAGCTGCTTGCGCACATACCACTCTCCTAAGAAAGTACTTTAAAGTTAGTTAAATACTGTGACTTACCAAGACATTTAGTATAAAGAAAACATCTTCTGCTAGGAATCGACTCTTAAGAGTCAGTATTTTTGGAACGGAGAAGACTGATTAGTACTTCCAAGAACACAAAACACTTGCATCTTTCATAGCGAGCTAGCGAGGGACAGAGAGAGGGGAGGGGCACAGTAGATTTCTTGGCTTGCAATGTCCTGCAACTTCAGTAAAGGAAGGCTTATCATCAATTAATAGGCTAAGATATTCTACACGGAACAGACCGAAGATGAAACACTCTCGCATCATTAGTGAAGAGAAAGCGCAGGCGAGCCCAGCTGCACTGTGATAAAAAATATATATATATTGTTTTTCTGTTAGGGATTTTTCTGAATGTTAAGGATCCCAATTTCGTTTTAACATTCACACCCCTAATTTGAATGGCAAGAATTTAACAGAATACAAAAAATCCACACAGGAACATAAAATGGACAGTGTGATCAATGTTGGCATGTATTTGTTTGCACATGGGCAACGGCTTCTCTAAACATACAAGGGAGAGACAGTTAAGTCAGGCTGGAGGAGTGCTGTTATTTTCAAAGCAAGGCACTCAAAATTGCCATGTAGAAATGTAATGGACCAACAACATATACACATACATACATATTATTTTTTACTCAAACCACCAACATTGAATCGACTTGTGGCCGCGGGCCCCATCTTTAACACCCCTGTTTTAACATGACAAGTCTGTATCTGATGGTGGATGGCGGGTCAGATGGCCTGTGTATCTGGGTAAGTATCTACCTCAACTCCGTTATGCTGTTGATAGATGTGGTGCTGGAAGTGACAATGTGTATGTGTGTTGCCTCACATTTCTAGATACAAACCACACCCACATAACGATTTAAAGAGTGATAGACTGCGGCGTGAAACCTACATTGCCGATGAGTTTGTAGACTTGCTCCCCGCAGACGTTGTAGACAGTCACCATGGTGTTGAGGGCTGTGTTGCGGACGGACGTGTCTCGATCTCCGATGTGTACAGCGATCTCTTTGAGGGACTTGGCGGCAGTCGGCTGGCAGACAGACATGCCGTAAAAGCCAATGAGACAACCCAGCTCCTCCAAGCACTCTGAGGACGGGAGAGGGATAATTCCAGGGAGTTAGATAGAGAACACTATCAATATTTGTGATCAAATTAGCTAATGTTGCCTTTGAAGATAAACATTGTGGTAGGTAGTGCTGGGGTAGGTTAGGGCAGTTAAAGTCAGTTTTAATAGTACTTGTGACAAAAAAAATCCTTGTTTAACTGCTCAAAGTGTGCAAGTTAGTGGTTACACCAAAAACATCAGTCAGCTTGGGTGTGAATTGGATAGGTACCTGGCGGGCCGTGAAGGGCTTAACAAAGGTAAACCCATTTTTGTATTCCTAGCTCAGACCTCAAAATGGCTTGACAATGACACCCTAAAGACTCTGGCAAATGCCCTAGTCCAATGTCACTTTGATTATGCCTGCACAGCATGGTTCACTAGCAGCCCCAAATATCTAAAGAATAATCTACAGAAGAATTGTACTTAAAATCCTGCAGGTAGCCAACTCACTGTTGTGCAGCATGCACCATGTGATCTAATTACAATGTGGAATTCACAACTAAATGTTTGCCAGCAAGATATCTTATAACTATTAAGTTAACTGTCTAAAATGTGCTAAATGCTCTGCAGTTGTGTATTTGGTTTGCTAATTTAGTAGCTAGCTAGCTAAGCTTCTTCCAAAATCAAGCATTCGCTTGGTGACAGCAGAGAATCCCTTCTTGGATCCTTGCTGGCTAATATTTGTTATGTCTGTGAAGCAAACTGTGAGTAGCATTTTTGAGATACTTGTATAGTTTAGGTCAGACAACATGTTCGCAATGCAGTCATTAGCATTTAGTTAGCATTCTCTATGGGATTTTACATGTACTTGTTAGCATTGCTAACCTTTGGATTACAGAGTATCTGTGGGGGTTTGAAAACAGCGCCCCTTTGTGTTCTGTGCCAGTATTACCGAAAATCCCAGTATGGCACAAGGTCTGTATGACAATCTGGATACCGCCAAAGCCTATTAGCAGCCTACTGTTGACATACGGCTATAGCAAGAGAACAGATCAATATCTGATTAATTAACATAGGTCTACTAAACAAGACAATGGCAGAAATGGAAACAGGCACAACTTACTCAAATCAAGGTGGGTCCATAGTTTCAAACTCTGGGTTAACCCTCTGCTTAAACATTTTGGAAGATCTGCAGCAGGTGAGCTTTTCCCATAGGAAAACAAGTAGCAGCCTTGCTACCATGAGCCACACGTGCGCAGTTATATTTCCGGGGAGAAATAGTGCACCAACCAATCAAAGTTCTTAATATAGGTCAACTTGCGCATCAGAGATAGCTAAACCTCCATATTCAAAGTTTAGCTTGATTCCACAGGTCTGAAAACGAGGGCTGGACAAATGTATTTGCATGCATCCTTGACAAAATTCAAGGCACATTTTTACATCCTTGACAAAATGCCAAGTTTTTCCAGTTACAAGCACAGGCGTGTGCTTTCAAAGAAAAAGATGTAGGACGATTACACAAAATGTATGCAAAAAAAAAAAGCATGCAAAAAAAATTAATATATATATACAGTGCCCGTAATTATTGGGGCAGTGACATTGCTTTTTTTGTCTCTGTACTCCAGCACTTTGGATTTGAAATAGGGCTGTAAAAGGTTCACGTATTCATACCTATCCCTTCGGTACAGGGAGCTCGGGTCGGTCCACACTGACCCCAAATGAACACAAAATATTTTTCAAAATAAAAAACACTAGGCCTATAGGCTATGCCTACGCTGCGTTGTATGCCATTGCTTCGTGAGTAAATCTGAGCTGAAAAAACATAGTAGGCTGTCCCGTTAAAACCTATGCGGACGTTGTAATCAATATCCTAACCTTAACTGGCAGATTTCAAATTATCCTTTTGTGTGGTGCAGCCGGGAACCCTGCAGATATCGAGTGGTGGGATTGATAAATCAGAATTGGAGGATCCTCCATCATTGTTTAAAGTCTCCAGTTTGGGAACAGTTTGGCTTCACAGTCGATTACAACGGCGATGGACAGAGTTGTGGATAAAACGTAAATAGCATGTTCTCCACTGCTCAACGAGAATAGCCCAGAGTGGCGCGTGTAGCTTGTGGTCGGCTAATTACAAGTCATGAAAGTGCCACTACAGGCAGAGCCTCAGTGTATGGCAAAGCAAGCTGGGAGACTATCTAATCAACGGAAGATACAATTAAAAGTTATTCGAAGTATATGGTAGAACGACCAAGAGCCAACCGGTCGGCTGCTATTTAATAAATCTGAATGGAGGTGTTATTTGTAACTGTAGATCAGGAAAAAAGCGCATGCAGACTCGATTAACCAACTAGCTTCTCTCGGTTTGATGCAGTCAAGACAAGTATTAATTAATCATATTGGATGATAAATAACCTAGCTATGACAAGGTAGTCTCTCTCTCTCTCTCACTCTCTCTCTCACTCTCACTCTCACTGGGGCCAAGCTTCCTGCCATCCAGGACCTCTATACCAGGCGGTGTCAGAGGAAGGCCCTAAAAATTGTCAAATACTCCAGACACCCTAGTCAGACTGTTCTCTCTGCTACAGCACAGCAAGCAGTACCGGAGCGCCAAGTCTAGGTCCAAAAGGCTTCTTTTTTAATCGTTATTTTAACAGGGAAAAACAGACAGACCTGGATCTCTTTTACGGCTGTGCCCTGTGTAAACATGTTGACATGTACAGTTTTAGACATACAGACAAGAACATTTCAAACATACAAAACAAAAACACAATTCAACAGAAACAATCACAGACAACATCATATTGATCCTCCATAACATTTTTTAAATGGCCAAGGGACACCAGAGTGTCTAACTTAAGTTGGATCTGCAGTTTGTTCCATAAATAAAGTGCAAAGGAATCTCTAATGTAATCCACATCTGTGATCTGGTTTTAAAATTAGTATATCTAGTGGAAATTAATGATGATATATATGGAGGTAGTTTTAAAAGAAGTGCTTTATAAATAAACAAGAGAGCATGTTGCTCTCGCCTCACAGATAGAGGCCCAACCCACATGTTGATATAGGAAACAGTGATGAGTTTTGTAACTATCACCCGTGATAAACCTGAGTGCACAATGGTAAATAGCATCCAGTGGTTTTAATGTGTTTGCCGATGCATGCATATAGATAATATCACCATAATCTAAAACGGATATAAAAGTAGCCTGCACTATTTGTTTTCTATTTACGGAGGACAGACAAGCCCTGTTTCTGTAAAGGAACCCTATGTTGAATTTAAGCTTTTTTCCCAATTCAGTAACATGTTTTTTAAAAGAAAGCCTATCATCTAACCATACCCCTAAGTATTTATATGCAGAGACCTGTTTGATTTGAGTACCATCCAAGCTAGTGATTACAAAAGTGTTTCTAATTGAGAGTTTAGACCTAGAAAAAAACATGACATTTGTTTTCTTCGCGTTTAAAACAAGTTTAAGCTGTAAAAGAGACCCCTGTAGTATCCTAAAATCAGACTCCAACTGCATTAAAGCTTGGTCCGCTGTTGGAGCAATAGAGTACATCACTGTGTCATCTGCATATACATGGAATTTACAATATCTGACATCATCACCAATGTTGTTTATATAAAGTGAGAACAATAGTGGGCCAATTATTGAACCCTGAGGGACCCCTTTAAGTAACTAAGGGGTCAGACTTGACCCCGTCGACCATGACGGCCTGAGTTCTATCTTTAAGATAGTCATAAAACCATCGACAGGCATCAGTGCCCAGTCCTATAGATGACAGCTTACTCAAAAGGATAGCATGGTCTACAGTGTCAAAAGTTTTTGACAAATCTACAAACAACGCAGCACAGTGCTTTCTATCATCTAAGGCATTTGCAATATCATTTACAACAAGCATAGTGGCCGATGTGGTACTGTTTTTAGATCTAAAACCAGATTGATTGGTGCTAAAAATACTGTTAACAGAAAGAAAAGATTGTAACTGTTTGTTGACTATAGATTCTAGGATCTTTGCCAGACAAGGGAGCCTAGAGATGGGTCGATAGTTATCCAAATCACTACCGTCACCTCCCTTATGTAATGGCAGAACAAAAGCTGCTTTCCACACCTTAGGGATATTTCCTGTGCTTAATGTTAGATAAAAAATGTGTGTCACTGAACCAGCAATGATAGGTGCAGCACACTTAAGTACGGGTCTAAATTGTCAGCGCCTAAGGATTTCTTAGTATCAATGGCACACAGGGCAGCTAGAACCACTGCTTCAGTTATTTTCTGGAAACTAAAAACAGGGTTACCATTTTTCAGAGTAACGGTTGAAAAGCAAGACGAAAAATCAACTAACTGGCCAGTACCACAATAGGCACTTTTCTTTTCAAATAAAAAACCAGCAGAGATGAAATGCTTATTAAAAGCATCACAAATATCATTTTTTTCACTTAGAATACAGGAGTCTGAGATAATTTGCTTAGGAAGAGAAACAGCAGAATTCCCCCATTTCAGTGAATTAACGGTTTTCCAGAATTTTGCAGGATCTCCTGCAGAATCTGTCATAGCATTAAGGAAATAATTGGATTTTGCCTTTTTGACAGCTGCAGTACATTTATTTCTCAATAGCCTAAAAAACAGCCAATCAGCTGGAGTACCTGTTTTCCTCACCAAGGCCCAGGCCCAATTATTTTGCAGAAAAAGACCTGACAATTCAGGAGAGAACCAAGAACTGGTTCGGTTTCTTACTCTGTGATTCTTAAACGGGGCATGTTTATCAGACATAGAGGTAACAATAGAAGAGAAAAAAGCAAGGGCTAAAACCGGGTCCAGAAAGCAGCAAGTGGATAAAAGCTCAGAGTGATATAAGTCAAGGGTAAAAGCTTGCTGTGAGAAATGTTTATAATTTCTCTTAGAGATTATACAGGGATCAGAGTGTTTCAGCCTGGTATCTCTAATACAAGCAATAGAGCAGTGGTCACTGATATCATTTGAAAAAAAAAAAAAAAAAACACTGGCTGTGTATTTATGGGGGGGGGGGTCTTTGTTAG